ATATAGAAGATACTATCGAATAGACTATAATCTTTTTAGTTACGTAACGGGCCGGATTACTAAGATTATAATCCGGGTAGATACTTATAGAATCTATACTATATAAAGTATAGTAGTAGTGGTTTCTTAATAGTCCGATATAGTTATAATAGTAGATAATTAGCTTAATTAAATTTGACCTATTTTATACCTTTTCGACTAGGCTTTATATAATAATTAAGAGTATTACTTACTTAGTAAAAAGCCTACTCTTTTACCTTTATTATTACCGATTAAGAAGATATTTAGCTACGTCGATATAACGAGTTTATCTATAATTAATAAGATATTAGAATATAAGCCTATTACTCATAAAATCTATCACGATTAGGAGCTCTAGTATAGTCACTATAAAGCTACGGCCGTTAATAATAACGTATAGGATTATTTATAATCTAATAATTCTATTCCCTCCTCTTAAAGGCCTCTTTTACCTTCCTATAATATCTTTTAAGCGTCGAACGCTACTATATAAATAGGCGCTACGCCTATATAGATATTAGATTTAACTCCCGGCGGATATTATGCGTACGAATCTACGATATAGCGTTAAAAGATATAAAGGGATAACCACGTAAAATACGCTAAAGATATTAACGCTATATTAATATAATAGGCTAATACTATTAATAAAAGTCGTAAGATACTTTATATAATACTATATAATAGAAGGTATATAAAGCTATTTAAGGCGATATCGCTTATTATATATCTACGCGCTACGTAAATATCTATAAAGAATATAATAAATATGTTTATACTACTCCGAATGGCCTTAAAAAGCTATAAGAGTAGTTATCAAAATAGTAGAAACTATTAACGTATTTAGAAGAGGTTAAGTCGATACCCGTAATGTATATCTAGGTAGTAGACCTTTTTAAAGCTATATATAGAATAGCTGGTCACGATTAGACTAAAGCCGAGGGACGCTTCTTAGATAAGGAAGTAATTTGCTCTAAGGAGTTTTATATCCTTAGTTAATAATATATTAAGACTAGACTTAAAGACTAGACTTAAAGACTAAGGAAAACACGGTAACTATTATACTATAGTATTCTGTATACTACATACTAGAACTAATAAGGGTATAAATATCTTAAAGGCCACGGCTAAGCCCGGGAAAAAGGGTAGCCGTAAAAAGAATAAAGCTAAGAATCCCGTTACCGTAGTATTATGCGCTATATTAATAGTTATACCTTCTATTACTTTAGCTAAAGCACTATAGCGAACGAGTATCGTTAAGCCGAAAGTGCCCCTAAGGTGCCGTATTATCGATAAAATCAATTCTAATATCGGATTTAGACTCTACGCCCTTAAAAGCACCGGAGACCGATATCGTAGCGAGACCGTAGAGGGCGTAGTAAGTTATATACTATAGGGCGACCCGTAGGGCTAACCGAACACGATACCAGTATACTACTATAAAGCGCCTAGAATACGATAACTAGAACTAACCCGGGGCGCGTAGCCCCGGAAAAGCCCTAAAAGTCCTAGGCACTAAGCGGGCGTACCGAAGGCATACTATATAAACTATATACCTAATTTTCCGGACTACTAGCTAATAGGATAAGCGCCGATAAGGCGCTAAAGCTAGTATAGAAAATCCTTTAAACGTAACACTATAAGACTATTATAGGGAAGCCGCTACGCTAATAACTCGGTAGTAATATACCCCCCCTTACGATTAAAGGGCTTACTGATATAATCGAATAAGCGATTAAGAGTATACTAATAGAATTACTCGGAGTAATAGGACCTAAGACCTACGCCTAGGTAGTAGGGAGCACGCCCGTGTAGCGCTAATATATTAAGATAATACCGGTAAAGGTTATACCCACCCGATACGCCTAAGAACTAATAGTCCGATACGGAGATACTAAGACTCACCTTAAAAGCCGAACCCTATAAGAGATTACTAAGGCAGTTAATTAAGTTACCCACTATATAGATATAATAGCCGCGTAATAACTCCTAAGCGGCGATATAATTCTTATATTTAAGTATAGGAACGAATAGTGGATAGCGAACACGAATAACT